CCTCTGGATGGCTGTAAACAACTTTTAGCATCATACTGTGTTTCCCTTCAGGCATCAGGAATTGGGGATCGGTTACAGGAAGAGGGTAATACACCATCTGTCCCAGGGGAAGCACAGAAGGAATCAACACTGACTGGACAAAACCCACAGTCTATTTAGAAAAGCAAAAAAAGGTTCAGAATACATCGCCATGAACTTAATATAAAATCTGTTGAGCTTGTGAGTGTCTCTATATTCTTACCTGCATGTGCTTTCCATATCTAATGGGATAAAAAAGGAACGGGATAAGAAAAGAACAGGATAAGAAAGGAACTCAGTGCCACTTGAGAGGGAGTAACTTTTAAACAAATTGTGGGAAGGCATCCTATATGTCTGGTTAAGGACTCATACATTGATAACATCCCACAAGAGTTCTGTGGAAACATCTTTTCCTCTGAAGCTAAAATTAATTGTTTGTTGCAATATTTAAAATAGTTTGAGTAATATTATGAAACAAAATTACTTGCGTGTGGCAATAGCCTAAGTAGCAAGTTAATTCATTTAATTATAGAACAAAACCAAAACCATGTAATTAGTCATACAACTCAAATAACACACCATTAGTAGAGAATAATAACTATTTTTGTCTAATGTTTTGATATCTATTGTCTAAAATGTCTGTGTTAGCAAATAGATTCCTGAAACTTAAGATATAATTATCAGGCTCTCTAAGGACTTAAAGTTGGAAGAGATCATATTCAGCAACAAGTAAAGAATTGTTCTTTTGACATTCAATATCATCAAATGCAAAAGGTGATCTAAATTCTCAACTTCTTTTTCTGGATAGTCCCATGAAGGGTAAGTGGGATTTGTGACTAATCCTTTCAGGGAAAAGCAGAAACTGTAGCTATTGGAAGTAATGGGATGTTTATACAGCGTTCATTGGTCTTTTCCTTCTTCTTTTATGGTATTAATACTGGGTACTGAGTAATAGTAAGAATTTCTGCAGTTAATTAGTATGGTTTTTAAAGATCAGGTACATTGAGGTTTTCCAACATGGAATATGGGATAAGGAGCACATTATAAAGAATACACATGTCCCTCATTTCCCTTTATTAATGTATTGAATGTATCCTGATGCAATCCTTTTATTTTAGAATAAAATTGTGCTTCCAGTTTAATTTTTCAAAATTATGAAATTGGATAAAACTGAATGGCCATACTTTGTTATTGGATATTTTTATATGATTATTTATAGGGCCTTGCAATCCATATTTTCAGTCATCATTGCAGACATTATAGGGATGAGTGTAAAACAAAGAAGCAATTGTATGCTTTACTTTTTATGATTGTTTCCCGATGACCTTTATGATGAACCAATAAAATTATACTTACTTTTAAATATGCGCTGCAAAATTGAGGATCGGGCAAAGCTTCTTGCTATGGAGAATGCAAAATGTCTGCTCAGTGTCCCCACAGAGCAGTGACACAAATTGCACATCCTCAGCCAGATCAGCTCACAAGTGCTGATTGAGGAGAGGTTCTCCCTTGAACTCCCTGAATCTGCTTCAGCCTTACCCCTTTAGAGCAGGCAGTATGTCAGCAGGAGCAGTGACCACCCAAGAACCTTCTCTTGTTCCTCCAAAAGGTGTATGAACATGAAAGATGAGCCTTGCTCTGTCTTGCCCACGTGGGCTCAGCCATAGCCTTTCAGAAGTATAAAGTGACACATGGCAATGCAAAAGCAATGAGACGAAAGTTATGTGAGAAAACACTTCTGAGCAGACTCTTCATTATAGACAGAATTTCTGTAGACCTTAATTCATGGTGTAAGAAAAAGAAGTTACCTTCTCAATAGAGTGATATTTTATATATCCTGGTGAGAATTTTATAACGTTTTCAGTCAGCACACACTACTTTGTTGAAAAGGTGATAACATTTATACAGTGTGGGATATTATTAAGGTTTTGACTGCAGAAGACAGAAAAACTGAGTGTGACAGTGTATGTATCCCTTTGTGGCCTTATGTATCCATATGCCGTATGTCACTTATGTGCCATACCAAGAAAAAACACCATGTTACTTGCATGAATGGTAGAAGTTAATCATCTTATCTACCTGCTGCAGGAATCTGAATCAGTTTAGTAACAAATAGAGCCCTGGAGGCTGAACCTCAGATTCATTTTTTAACTGTTTTAGGATGAGGTTCTCAGTCTTGTTTAATCATGTTTTTCACACTTATGCCACAAAATAAGGAAAAGGAAAAAATGAAAACAGAGCAACATCTGCATTTACTGGAGCATTTTTTACAACCAGTCAAGTTGTAGTATATGACATGAAAGACATTGAAATAGCCTGTCTTAAATTTTTTATACTCATACATGAGGTGTTACCTTCCAAAGAAGTACTGGATTCTGCAACTGGGACAGGGCAACCCTGGTTGTGTGTATAGACTGGGGAATGAGATGCTGGAAAGCAGTGCTGCCAAAAGGGATCTGGGGGTCCTGGTTGATGGCAAGTTGAATATGAGTCAGCAGTGCCCTGGCAGCCAGGAGGGCCAACCATGTCCTGGGGGGCATCAGGTAAAGCATCGCCAGCCGGGCGAGGGAGGGGATTGTCCTGCTCTGCTCTGCATTGGGGCGGCCTCACCTTGAATGGTGTGTTTTTTCTACAAGTTTTTGTTACTGCAATTTTTCGTGGTATTTGAGGCACTATATCTCAACTCTGCAGTTCTCAGCAGCTGAGTGTTAAGCAGCACACAAGAAATACTATGAAGAACTTTCACTATCAGATGGGTTCAAAATATAGGAAGAGGTTTAGAATTTTCTCTGTGCCTCTGTCCTTCATCTCATTCCTGCGTAGTCTGACCTTGCATGGCCCTGGCCCAGGAGTGAGAGATTCAACTTTGTGCACACTGAGTTGTGCTGTGGTCAGCAAATATCTGTGCAGGTTCAGAGGCTTCCTCTACAAAATAACTAGCAGCACTACAGTTTTTTGACTGTAAGCTCTTAGAGAGTGGGAAATCCCTGGTATTTGTACAGTGCCTGAAACAAATATAGGGTCTTACAACATCTTCATAAATTACTTGGATGCAGCACTGGAAGGGATACTAAGCAAGTTTGTAGACGACACAAAACTGGGAGGACCTGTTGACTCCCTTGAAGGCAGGAAGGCCCTGCAGAGAGACCTCAACAAATTAGAGGACTGGGCAATCACCAACCATAGGAAGTTCAACAAGGGAAAGTGCAGGATTCTGTCCCTGGGATGAGGAAACCCTGGTTGTGAGTATAAACTAGGGAATGAAATGCTGGAAAGCAGTGCCGCCAAAAGGGATCTGGGGGTCCTGGTTGATGGCAAGTTGAATATGAGTCAGCAATGCCAGGAGGGCCAACCGTGTCCTGGGGGCATCAGGTAAAGCCAGTCAGGTGAAGGAGGGGATTGTGCCACTTTGCTCTGCACTGGGGCAGCCTCACCTTGAATATTGTGGCAGTTTTGGTCACTGCAATATAAGAAAGGTATTAAGCTATTAAAGTGTGTTCAAAGGAGGGCAGCAAAGATGGTGAAGGGCCTTGAGGGGAATCCGTGTGAGGAGTGGCTGAGGTCACTTGGTCTGTTTAGCCTGGAGGAGACTGAGGGGAGACCTCATTGCAGTTACAACTTTGTGAGGGGAAGAGAAGGAGCAGACACTGATCTCTTCTCTGTAGTGACCAGTGACAGAACCTGAAGGAATGGTCTGAAATTGTGTCAAGGGAGGTTTAGGTTGGATATTAGAAAAAGGTTCTTCACCCAGAGGGTGTTTGGGCACTGGACCAGGCTCCCCAGGGAAGTGGTCACAGCACCAAGCCTGACAGAGTTCAAGAAGACTTTGGACAATACTCTCAGGCACATGGTGTGACTCTTGGGATGGTCCTGTGCAGGGCTAAGGGTTGGACTCGATGATCCTTGTGGGTCCCTTCCAACTCAATACATTCTATGATTCTATGATTTGTAATAGCACCAAGCCTGTTACTTTCAACTAACTAGTTTCTGTTTGAGATTAGGTTGGATAAAAAAATTCCTGTAATTAAAACACTGGTGGGGCCTGAAGACTGCTACAGGATATACACTTGTTTCTTAAAAAACAATGTCTTATTCTTTCCTCTACCTTATAGGTGCTAAATTTAGGTTTTAAAAGCTTGGATTACCTCAAGTACAGCTAGAATATTTTTTACTTGATAATAATATTTGTAATATTGTATGCAGATAGTCATTTTATTTATCTGAAAAAGACAAAAAATGTGATTAGGTGATAAAAGAGCTTTTTCTTTTTTCCTCAAACAAGATTTCATGTTGGTCAAAGCTGAAAAAATCTTTCCAATGACGCTTCCATCCATAGTATTTAAAGCACTTATGAGACAGGTAAAAGCATTATATTTAGTTTCCTGGTGCTTTAGAAATGCTTGTTTTGTTACATCCCATAAATTGTGTTTATTTAAGCAGCACGCTACAATCATATCCATAAGATGACACACTGATTTCTTTAGCTCAGTTTAGAAGCTGACTATACTAAATCTTCATAACAGGTCCAGGTAGATATTTTAAATGGCTTTACAACCTTGTTATTGATGTAACTACAGATCAAGTGTAGGAAAGCTCAAAGGCAATGGCAGTATTTGTTTAGCTTTTTTAATAAAATCAAAGCACCTTTGGACTTGAGGACCAGAGAAAGCAACCTGTGCTCTAAGAGACTGAATCTGAAATTCAGATCAGTCTTCATGGACAGCTAACTCCATGTATGGACTAGGATCCACACACAATTACTAGGACCTGGATATCTGACTAACTGCAGTCACTAAACTCATGCTTGCTCCTCTGTAGCAGGCACAGTGCCAAAGACAGCTGCAGTAGGGATCAGGTCTAGGAGCAGGCTCTGAGGTAGATTCAGCAACAAATGAAATAATTTTTTAAAATAATCAGCCTGAAATCCAAGCACAGCAGTCTCTAGTTGCTAAGCAGTGAGTAGGACAGCAAGGCTTCTAATGGTGTATGTAATCAGCCTTATCAACATCAATTGAGAATTGCCCTTAGCTGCTTCCTGGAGCTGGTGCAGTGGTGAGCTGCTCAGCATCCCTACTCAACTACACTGTGTGAAAGGTATCAGTGAAAACTGGTAAACCCTACCTGGGAGGAACAGCCTGCACTGATACCTGCCCTGAAGGCTTGACAGCATTTCCAGTTTGTATTTTAGCACAGCTAGAACTAATTCAGGTATTTTTTTCCCTCTTTTGTTGCCACTCCTACCCTTATCAGTTGATATCCTACCAAGTATCTTTTTTAATTCACCAGATATTTTAGGGAAATATTGGTGTTCAGTGTCTTATTTTCAAACCATAGTGTAAATTCAATCCTTCCCTGAGTTTCTGTTAAATTTTACTCTCACTTGACCCAGCCGTAGGCATGTATGTGTTCCCTAAATAAGCCTAAATAAGAAGTTAGAAGAGATTTATTTTTAAAAGAATATATGTGTTGGAAAAAAAAGAAACATGTTCTTCTTTACATGTTAGGGTAACCAAGAAAAAATTTGTAATACAGTCACTAATTATTCATAAAGTTTTGCCAAACAAGTAACCTTTTTGAGTGCATTCTAATGCACTGAAATATTTCAAAGTTATCTCATAGTCACATTACTGATTATCATCTCATGCCAACTTCCTTGGAGACTATTTGTAAGACGAGTTACATGACTGTTAGACGATGACCTGAATATCTGGTTTTGGCAGACTATATTAACCAAAACAACTTTTTGCAGATCTCCAGTTTCTGGCAAAATTTAACACGTGTCCTTCCATAGCAATTCAGCAAAATGTTTCACTCGCAACATATCAAGCAAACCTGAAGGAAAACAAGCCTCAAGCATCTATTTTAACTCTAGGTTTAACTCTTATTTAAAAGAGAGGTTCTTCCTGGAGAACTGCCTGTGGAGAAATGCCATCTTCATACACCATAAGTAAAAATAAACTACTCTCATTAAAAGGCAGTGAAAAAATGACGTAGCTAAAAGAGAGTAAATGTATTTCATGCCTTCCTTATGAGCAGCAAAATTTGTCATACATTTATCTGAGTCAAGTAGCTCCTGGTATAATCCATAAGCACACGATTCAGAGTGGTACAGACACTATGGGAAGCTTCTGTGAAGGTAGTGGGATTCCACAGTGTACAAATCTTACACTAGTGACAGTGAGAAAGAATTGAGCTTCAGTCCCACATCCTGTGTTATTTTCTAGACATATCTAGTGGATAATTTTTAATTTTCTTTTCCCATAAAACGAGTACTTCAAAACTAAGTTATGAGTAGTGAGTATAGTGCTCAATGAATACTTTACAAAATCACTTTCCAAGCTGCTTTACATATTGAGTTTTGATTTGCTGGATACTTAACCAAGGCTAAATCAACTGTTGTTATTAAAAGACTTGCTGTTGATATGAATTAACTAGAAGTAAATCCTCTTAATATGTGGGAACATTAAGAAAATTAAGGCATGAGCTTCCACTAGTTTTCAGTCAAGACTGGGTACCTAGCTTCATTAATCATTTTTGAAAACTACTATTTTTCTTCTGTGCAAAACATTAATATTTTCAGGGATATAAAATGAATAGGGATTAGAAGCCAAGCTGCTGTATGAGCCAGGAAGATGTGTCTTTACATTTTTAGGAATGGCCAGTGGTTCCAAGTTTCTCCTTTAGGAGTTTTAAATGGCCAGTTTGGAATTTCTCCTTTAGTTTTGAAAAACTCCTGATTTTCAAAAAATACCTTTCACATACCCTGTGAAAGATAATTTCTTTATGGATGAGTTCAAAATCACTAGCTGCTTTTGAAAATGTGGACATATGCAATTCCAAATGCATTTTCAGGTGATGTGGGCTTGTTCAGTTTATCCTGACTGTACTCCTGCAGTGATGACAGCTGCTGACATTATCCTCATGACAGGTTGCACAAGACCACTGGAAAATAAACTCTCATTGCTGGCCTGTGCTGGAACGTATGCTGCCTCCACTTCACTGTTATAATTCATTCTAACTGGATATATCTAACAGCAGCATATCTAAAAATGTTGCAGCTATGCTTTCAACAGTATGTAGACATACTTCTATTGCAGTTATTAATCATATTATGTCTAGAAATATCCATATAATTTTTTCTGCTGATTTATATCTGCTCGTACACACAGACTGCTTTGGAAGCAAATTTGGAAAATTTTTCTATTTTCAAATAGAAAATATTTGAATTGTTGTTACTTTGACTCAGGGAAAAAAAATGAGCTTAGGTATGGACAAAGTTTGCAAGCATCACACAAGTTTAAGAATGCTTCTTAAAAATATGTATATTGAAACATTCTTTTTAAAAATGAACGTAAATTAACACCAACAAACTGTCAGTGCACAATAAAATCTTCCATTCTAAACTCAGCTTTGACATAAAAAACTATAGATTATCTTTCCCTTCAAGCTAACATTCTTGACGTTTTAAATATTGTTCTAAGGTAATGTTCTAAATTACCTGTTTTTCCCCGAAGTCTCCATGATGTTGTAATGGGCTGCTGTAATTCTTGAAATGGAGGCCTTAATAATTCTTATAATCATTATAATCACAGCCCTTTCGTTTGAGGGAATCTATTGTTTTACAAACCAAAGGCAGTTTTTACCTGTATGTTTAGGTAACATCCCTATAAAAATCAGTGGGATTTTCCTGAGGTAAGATCCAGAAGGGTGGACCTGCAGAGCAGCTTATGTATTTGTTCACTCTGCTCTTTTATCAAGTACTATTGCAGGTCACATGAAACCTCACAAATTGTCTTTTGATTTAATATAGATAAAGCACAAAGATTTGTTCTGTAGAAATAATATCTGCTTTGTAGAAATCCAAAAGTTCTTGAAGATTTTCCTCGTGTGTCAGTTAGGTGAAAATTTGAATTGCAACTGTATTATAATTTTGAAAATAATTTTAATGAATGTATGAGGTGAAGTCAATACAAATTGTACATGCCATAAATATTCAAAGTTAGAGCAATTTCTTCTTCTTTCCCAATGGTCTCATTGGTTCTTGCAGGCAGAGAGGGCACCCAAGCATACAGGAACAATGATGTCTTAGGTTAGGATCTTACAGAGAGATGGAGAATATTTTACTTTCAAAGACTAAGGACTTGTGGAATTCCTTGAATTATAGGATAATCTTCATATTCTTGATTACTACAAGTGAATGTACAATATGATAATATGTTTTTTCTGTTACAGAAATTCTGTA